CCCCCCGCCCCCCCCCCCCCCCCGACACACGCAGGGCGCGGCCACAGCACCAGCAGCGCACAAAGAAAATGAAACACAGAAACTGCATAGATCAGCCATGTACCTGGGGAGGCTGGGGGGTGCCCAGCACCAGGGGGGCTGCTCCGCTCCGCAGGGGGAGCCGAGCTGGGGGGACGGTGCACTCCTCTACGGGGCGCATCCATGGGGAGATGGGTTAGTATGGCCAATTGGGGGGCATCAGCTTGGCTGGAGGAAACCCCATCGCCCGCTGACGGGCAGGGGGAGCTTTGGTCCGATGATGCCGTGACACTGGCAATGCAGCCCCTCCGCCTGCCCTGCTGGCGCTGGCACAGGGCTGGCCCAGCTCGTGGGAACCACTGCAGTGCTCTGCTCCTCTGTGGGTGCCCATCCTGAGCTTGGTAAAGGGCCTTTGCCTCCCCATGCCTCTGTCTCCCCCAGCACAGGGGAGCTCACGATGGGCACGGGGACAATGGCACCGGCGGCTGCTGCACGGCTTCACCACAGCCCCGCTCCTGCAGCTGCAGCCCCCGACCTCTCCGGGCTCCCACCAACAGGAGCTGCCCGAGCGACTCCGCTCAGTGAGCTGGGAGGCACAGCGGCTTCACTCCCCGCACGTCTCTCCTGCTGCCGGCGAGCAGGGGACATTGCCAGAGAGCAGGGGGCATTGCCAGTGTCTGGAGGAGCAGCCCATGGGGCTCACAGCAATTTGGAGGGGGCAGGTTTGGGGGTTGCGTGGGGCCAGGTTGGGGGTCTGGTGCATGTTGATCTATGCACTAACCGGTAGGCTTTGGACAGTTCTTTTCGTCAGAGCCATCCCCACAATCTTTTTCTGAAACACAGAACCAACCAGACAGGAGAGTGGGCACAATGACAAACAAAACAACACAACACGGCACACGCACAGAGAGTGGCACAAAAACACGCTGACGCCAGGATGCGAACATCAACACAGAGAGGGACAGACAGAGGCTGCGCAGGCACACCGAACGCCCTGGGAGGCGAGACCAGAAGCAGCGGAGGGTGCTGGGGGAGCACAGGGCAGCCAGGCTGGGAGCCCCTCGGCGCTGCAGCTCCTGCCCCGTGGGTGCCTGGCGATGCTCTTGGCTGCACGGAGGTGCCCCACACCAAGGCCATCGCTTTTGCGAGCACCTGGCTGCCAGCACTGGTGGATCCCTGGGAAAAGAGAGCGTCCCTCGGCAGGGACGGCTCAGAGGTGGGGCTGCCCCAGGAGGAGGAGGCCCCTTGCTCAGGAAGACCCCAGGGAGAGACCTGCACCTGCAGCTCCCCACTAACCTCCTGCACTCTGCAGCTCTGAACATGCCTCACCTGCTCTGAAGACACTAATTAAACCTAACGATGCAGAGCTGCTAGGAAGACTAAAACAAACCTGCAGGGAAGGAGAGCAGCCTTGGGGTAAACCCTCTCTCCCAGCCTGGCCCTGGAAACATATCTGAGCTTGCTGGGAGACTCTCCTGGCTTCCCTGGGGCTATGGGACCTGGCTCAGTCCCACCAGCAGCACAGACCACTCCACAGTCATCTCAAGCACTGGGGCAGAGCTTTTGGCCATCAGAGCTTCAGCTCTGCTGAAACAATCCCTGCCAGGCTGGTCCTGCAACACACGCTCCCCCAAGAGCATCCAAGGAAAATGTGGGTCTCGGTGTTGCAGGATGCGCTTACAGCTTCAGCTAATGCCCTCCCTTCAGGGCCTGGGCTCTGCTGTTCAGCACAAGGCTGAGAAATGGCCCTTGCGGGAACAGGGTGCCCTGCCAGGCTGGCACCCCTGCGTCTGATCTCACCGTCCCCGGCTGCGCCCCCCTTGGCAGCAGTGGGGCTGTGGTCCTTACCGTTGTCACACCGCCAGTTGATGTTTATGCAGCGCCCGTTGTTGCAGGTGAACTGTGTCAAAGGGAAGCAGGTCGGGTAGGCTGTGGAGGAGGCAGAGGCATGATCAGTGTTGGGGAAACACCCTGTGCCCCAGTCCTTATGCCTGGCCCCACCGATGCTTCTGCCCCATCACAGACTGGTGAGGGTGGGAAGGG